GCAAAATAGTAACTCTCCTAAAATTACTATTTTGCGAAATATATTTTAATACGGTTTAAGAAATGAGAGGAGGCCAAAATGTTCGGTGATATACTAATTTGTAATGTTAAATGTATTTTCGTGACATGAAAGAGGTCACGTTGGCACCGCAGGGTGAAAATAGTCCATTTCGCAAAATAGTAACTCTCCTAAAATTACTATTTTGCGAAATATATTTTAATACGGTTTAAGAAATAAGAGGAGGCCAAGATGTTCGGTGATATACTAATTTGTAATGTTTAAATGTATTTTTGTGACATGAAAGAGGTCACGTTGTCACCGCAGAGGTGAAAATAGTCCATTTCGCAAAATAGTAACTCTCCTAAAATTACTATTTTGCGAAATATATTTTAATACGGTTTAAGAAATAAGAGGAGGCCAAGATGTTCGGTGATATACTAATTTGTAATGTTTAAATGTATTTTTGTGACATGAAAGAGGTCACGTTGTCACCGCAGAGGTGAAAATAGTCCATTTCGCAAAATAGAAACTCTCCTAAAATTACTATTTTGCGAAATACATTTTAATACGGTTTAAGAAATAACAGGAGGCCAAAGTGTTCGGTGATATACGAATTTGTAATGTTTAGATGTATTCTCTTGGCATGAAAGAGGTCACGTTGTCACCGCATGGGTGAAAATGGTCCATTTCGCAAAATAGAAACTCTCCTAAAATTACTATTTTGCGAAATACATTTTAATACGGTTTAAGAAATAAGAGGAGGCCAAAATGTTCGGTGATATACTAATTTGTAATGTTTAAATGTATTTTCGCGACATGAAAGAGGTCACGTTGGCACCGCAGGGTGAAAATAGTCCATTTCGCAAAATAGTAACTCTCCTAAAATTACTATTTTGCGAAATGAATAAAAATCCTTCTTGTTAATGAACGATAACTCCAAAATCCTTGTGAAAGTTATCTTTACCTTATCAGAAAATATATCTGCATTATTCCTTTTGTTTTATTTCATCTGACCCGATTTCGTTTCGTTTCGTTTCGTTTCGCAAAATAGTATAAGCCTCAGAAAGGCCACCCTATCGCGTCGCGTCCCTATTCGTTTGTTAAGGCGAGTAGTTCGAATATTTCAAATCCGACATTTCTTGCGGAAAACGATATACCTGGCGCTTCTCTTCTTGGAAGAAAACCTGAGGAGTTAAAAATCTCAGAGATTAAATTTTGGCTTAAATGTTGTAGAGACGCGGTGAAGCGACTGCATGACTACATATGACCCTGATTTCAGGGTCGAACAAGGGCAGAAACTGCTTTCTTATTACTTTGAACATTTTATTAAGTTGCTTATGGAAAGCTTTTCAATTGAAATTGTCTGGCAAATAACAACAGTGATTGTGAAGTCTTGTGAACAATCTACAGTCTTCCTGCAAAAGCTATTTTGTTATGACATCTCTGGTTTTTTTTTCAACAGAATTGGTAATACCATGCTTCTACATTCAAACATTCTTAATTGTCGTGAATTTACTTGTTGACTGGGAATTAAAACCTTACATGAATAAATTCTTACTGGTTTGTAGTTTTAATTTGTAGTGGGTTAAAATTTGTCCAACCAGTTTGATTTTTAATCTGCTTTGTTTCAAAGTATGCTAAAGAATACAAAGGAAAATTAAAACCAAACTGGTTTAAACATTTTGCACCAAAGGTAATTTAAACACAACAAAGACAACATGGTCTTTACAGACAGAAAAGAAGTCACTCAATTATGATGTAACCCTTACAATAAATAGTCAGAACAGAGGGGAAAATGTTGTCTTTATCTTAATGCCCAATTTGTAGCCCCTTACAATCTAGGGAGAGAAGAGATTTGTAGGCAATTTATGGGTTAAGTAATTCATTCATGCCTCACACGAATGTGATATTCACATTGATATTATATTAGTTTGTGCATTACAACAGAATGCACACACTGCCCACATCTGGTTTACAATTCCCATTTGATGTAGTGGAACAACTCTGTCCCAGATGCGAAAATTCTTAATCTTGTTAAAGGCAGGTTCAACGTGTATCTGTACACTTGCAATTTCCTGTGTTTTTACCACATCTTCTACAGCCATCTGAGAAGATGCTCCAAGAAAGGGCAGCAAATTTAAACTGACTTCCAAAGGCGACAAATCCTAAACTATGAACCCTTATCTGCCATAATGGAGTCTTTGTCATCAAATGGTAGATTTAAGAATCCACTCCATCTGACAATTTCTCGATCAGAGATAGAACCTGTATACAGTTGATACAATCTGTTCTTTCTTGTATTCAAGCGAAATCGGAGACGATAACATGTTTAATTATCCTCCAACTTATACGGCAGGATTTTTCCAGAACTAAAGTATATTCTCCAGGGTGATTTAAGACCATATAAATCGGGTTCAATAACTTGACCGGCTTAGAAACATTATCCCAAACCCTGACACAATAGACAAGATAATTTTATCGCATTCCTACGAGGTAAAATTTTGAAATAGGGTTAAAGGTTACTTCCCACCTTCGTGGATGTCCTTCGGGAAAAAATTCGTACGCGCGTTAGTTACAATAAAATCCGAGCAAACTATATATCAGAAGAAAGCTTAATAACTGCAGGTAACGATGAAAATATAAGTTAAGCGACTTTTCTTTTCAGGAAGTTTCAGGAGCCAGTAAGGCGTGAAATGATGCCGCAGCACGAGCAAAATGTCTGCACAGAACAAATTGTGTCGGGCTTTTTCGATATTCTGATTTGTTGTTTAGATATCGGCATCTAATGGAGTCTATCTTTTTGTCGAGGGTAGAGGGTCAAGGGTTTCATGTCGACGGCGAGGGTACAATGTCGAGGGTACCTTTTTTCCCATTTTTTTCTCTTTTTTTTAATTAATGAAGAAAAATTAAACCGTAACTAAAATAATTAAAAATAATTAAAGAAAAAAAACATTTTTAAGATACGGATTGCACGTGGACATCAGATTTTTTTAGATGGACATCGTGGACATCGCCCCAAAAAATAGCGAGTTGGGGAGGGGTGAGATTATGAACAGCAAGTGGACATCCCAGTTCGTTTTTAAAAAACCTGATTAGTATTAAAAGAATTAAATTAAGAACCCACAGAAAGCTCATATTCGATCATAAATCTGTTTAGATTTTCCGTGTTACTGTAACATCACGAAGCGAAGAAATATGACCAAAAGAAGCGAAGAAAAAGCGCGATGTCTTTATAAATGGTTTCAAACATGGGGTGTAATCCAGCTGTTAAGGAAACTCTCTGACATGTCCAAGCTCCAGACAATAAAATTTACCGAGCAGAGTCGGTCACATTTACTGACTTCTACGTTTTTCCGACGGAAAATATCGGCAAGCAACATTAGCCACCACAGTTCCACTTCGCAGGTTTCGTAGGTTTTTACGCAAGAAGTGATTGGCAGCGGCCTGGGCTAATTGGAAAACAAACCAAGGGAAGTCGCGAGGAATACCTGATCGCGATTTCCGATGTCGGTGATTAACTCCTTTGTTTGCGAAACAGATTAAATCGATATTTGCGCTTTCCCATATGGCACGCTCTAAATTCCCCAAATAGCATATTCTCCTCTTAAAAACCAAAATTCTTATCAGAATAATCATTTTAATGGTGATTCTTTCAAGGAGAATCGAGGTTCTTGAAACAAGATTGAATAGAAGAGAGAATTCTTGTGGTAAGAATGCATTACATCTGAATATCTTTAGAAGAATCTCTATTTCAGAAACGCTTGCCCCAATAATCGGGAATTCTTTTCTCGAGAACGAGAATTCTTTTCAGCAGGCAATAAAGTAGAGAGTTCTTCTGTATATAATTTTTATTGCAAATCTCATGCACAGAATTGCAATTTCAGAAACTCTTGCTACAAGAATCGGGAATTCTTTTCTCAAGTAGGAGAGTTCTTTTTAGCAGGCAATAAAGCAGAGAGTTCTTCTGGAAAGAATATTTAATGGCAAATCTTACGAACAGAATTGCAATTTCAGAAACTCTTTCCACAAGAATCCGGAATTCTTTTTCTCAAGAACGAGGATTCTGGCAGGCAAATAAGTAGAAGGTTCTTCTGGAAAGAATGTTTAATTGTAGATCTTATGAAAAGAATCGCAGTTTCAGAATTCATTAGATAAGAGGCAGAAGCTCTTATGACCAAAATTTTATTTAGTTAACCTCTATTGCTAGTAACTTTGTTAATTATAGACGAAATTATCTGATAAAGTCTGATAAAGCTTTGCTTCAATACAGCGGTGGAGTAGGTACAAGAACGATTCGCTGGGAAAACGAAATACGATGCCGTAGCCGCGATAATTTATATTAAATTTTCAACATTCTCATGAACATTCTCAACACCAAAATTAATAACTTTGGAAGCGAAAGACTTATCTGGAGGTTTGAGCAGTTCCAAAATAGTCCTTAAATTTTTGTTATTGGAATCTGTTGTGATAGCAGGCAAGATAAATGCGTGATGCTAAACGTTTGATAACCGCCCTGTATCCGATTTCGGTTGCGCGGGCTCAATAAACGTTTTTAACGGCTTTCAAAAAAGTGCGCCGAATAATAGGTTGTCGTTGCCTTGTTTTTGTTGAGAATATTTTTAGATTTTTAATATATAAGATGGTTGTTTTTTTATCTTTAAATATGATTTTCCATGATATTTCCCCTGAGCTAGGTTGAACTCGGAAATAGTTAAGGATAGGATTAGGAAGGAACAGGTTGTAGTCGATCGACTGTAATCATTAGAATGAAGTAACTGTGTGAAATGGAACCTATGACAGATTTTAATTTAATTAAGTTTATACTATATTGTAAGAAAAGAATTTTAATGAATTAAAATTTATGATTTCATTATGTAAGTAACTAAGTATTTCAAAATGTTTCATTAAAGAGTATTATTATTCTCAAATTAAAAAAAAACTATTATTATTATTATTATTATTATCATTATTATTTATTCATTTATATGTCTTTTTTAAGAATGGCTACAAAAGATCATGTCGCTGGCTATACAAAGTATTTTGGGAATAGATTTGCAAACTTATCTCCAGAAGCAACAACAGAGGAGGAGATCAAAGATGTGTACAAAGAATGGGCGAGCAAGTTCGATGAGGTAATTCCTTACAGCCAGTAGCTGAGTAGCGATATTGTGAGCCATTTTTTTCAAAGCACAGAACCAATTTAACCCTTTTACCCCAAACAGTAAACGGTTTCTAATTTCTCCTTACAGTATCCCCCTTGATTCAAATCTACATGTCATGAGAATAATGGAGATGATCACCAATAAGAAGCCTGACAGCCAAAAAATTTCTCCATGGTATTACTATAGGAAATGTAGAGAGATCGGCGCGGAGAAAATGAATACTTATGTTAGGGAGTCTCCTTCGAGGAGACTCAGAAAAATTACTTCAATGAGATATGAAAACTGAACAAGGAAAGAAAAATAACACAAGAATGATGAAGGGTGGTTAAGGTTGGTAAAGTTTAAAGCGAATTACATATGACGAGCTTAAGAATAATTTTGCACAAAAGTTAATGTACAGCTGTTGCTCATTAATTCCAGTGCAAGAGGTACGGTTAATACATGAGGATACCACGGGCCTGCGCATGACTAATTTATCCATGGAACTGCTGATCGCAGAATCGGTGAACCTTTCGAAACTGAAGATCTTGGAACTTGTGAAACCGAGGGAAATAACTGTTTTTTTTTACTAAGTAGGGCAACAACAAAATTCTCTATCTTCCACAAGTTTCGCCGTTCAGCGGTTCGCAATTCTGTTCATAAGTCAAACCGCGGGGTCTTTAGTGATATATTTCTCCAGAGAAGAATGTTCCCTGAACTTATGCGATGGTTCAAACACATACTACGCGCTGATATTTTGCGAGTTAGCGAGCAATGAGCAAAATTCTCCCGCGTATTATCCATTGCAAGCTAATTAATTTCTTTACAGGAAAACTCTAACGCACGGATCGTCTGCCACAAGCCCCAAGCTGAATGCTTAGACTTTGCCATTAAGAAATACCTGGACAAACCGAAAGAGGAAATTAAAATCATTGATTGTGGAGCTGGCACGGGCTGGGCTGGTGTCGAGCTCAACAAACTTGGGTACACCAACCTGTGTGCTCTGGACATTTCACAAGAAATGTTGGATGAGGCGAAGAAGAAAAAAATCTACCAAAAATTTATCTGCGCCCCTCTAAATGACCAGCAAAGTCCTGAGGTTAAAACCGGAGAGTACGACGCCATGATTTGCATTGGTACGCTGGCTTCTGCGCATGTCAAACCAGCAGCTTTGGTTGAAATGATTCGGATGATCAGGACTGGTAAGCTTAAAAGTAGTTAGATAGTCCTACTTCATAACATAGTGTGGTCGCTCTGGGAATGACACTGATGAGGTAAGAGACGTTTCCCCAAGTTGAACAGACGAATATATTCAAAATATAGTCAAAATTTCTTTCTTCTTTTGGTTTCCATCGCAGGTGGTCTGGTGAGTTTTAACATTCGGTATGGTGAGCTAGAAATCTACCAACCAAAAATGGAAGAGCTGGAGAAAGCACGCAGCTGGGAAAAAGTATCCAAAGATACAGTGCCTCAGTTTGATGTAGATGACATGCCTCCGACTTCTACTTTCTTTGTTTACAAAGTCTTGAAATGTTAGTGCTACCACTAACAAGACCACAACGAGGATGAAGTAGATGAATCAAATCTTTTGAGAATAAAACACAGGTTTTTTTCTGGAAACAGATTGTCTTTTCCTCTTTAACCTTTAGCTACAGAGAATCTATTTCCATGGTAGATTAAATTACTCTGTGCTGAAAGAAGTGAATTCATCAGACAAACTAGGGTCTATTTGTATAGGTAATCACATGATTTCGAGTGCAATTTGGAATAAATAAGAACGAGAAAATTTTTTTAAAGAATAACAAAATTGCACGAGCCCGTAGGGCGAGTTCAATTTGTGGTCTTTGAAAAAATTAACAAGTGCTTGTTTATTCCAAATTGCACGAGAAAAATCATGTGATTACGTGTTACTAGCATACATGGAAAAATACGAGATGGCTTATCATAATGAAGCATGAGCAAAGCGCGCGCATCAAGTGCAAAAATGAAGAAATGTAAAATGGTTTCCGTGTTTACATAGCCTGATGTAAACACGCGAGATGTTGAGAGAACACGAAATAAGCGTAGGAAACCATCGATAAAGAGTTTTCTAACGTACAGCTCAGGTGCAGGAATTTCTTTTCGTTCCCTAGTTTTTTAAGCAATGCCAAACAATTGTCACTGTGCAGTGTTTTTAGCACTTTCAGAGCAAACCTCGAAACATGAATCATTCTACAGAATCTGTGACCTGAAGTGAAGAAAATTGTGATCAGCTCACGGCTGATTTGATACAGCTGTTGTGTACCGGTTCCCAGTTAATATTCTTGTTTCTAGTTCAACTCTATCTTCCCTTTAACCTGCAGTATCCATATTCTTTGACGTTTCAAGAGATCGTCAAGAAGTGCCCAGTTTTGGCAAAGGTGTGTGCCCTTATAAAGGTCTTGTTGATGAAATGAAAGGAATCGCCGGAAACTGCCCTGATTCATATACGGGTGTCCTTTCAAGAATCTGACAACCATGGTGAGTACGTGAGCAAACTGGCCGAAATGCGAGATAAGACTGCCACCAAAGGGTCGGGCTGCATTCGAGAAGTTGATGAAGAGGGTCACAAGATCTCCAAGGGGGCTGAGAAGAAAGGCTGGACCTTGGCCATTCCCTCCAGATACCTGTCCAATCTTTGCCCGTGATGCACATGGAAAGCGCACCATGCCAAAATACAATTAGGCTTCCTCAGAGTGGAAGAAGAAGGATCTGACCGAGCCAGGAACAATTTAAGTACTTCTTTGCAGAAGTGATTTTTAATTCCATTTTGGTGTCTTGTTTAAGGGTACGTTTTTAAGTCAGTCAGAGACATCATTCCATCTCTGTTCGCTCCGTCAATTCAGCAATATTCAGTGGAGACATCATTCCATCTCTGTTCGCTCCGTGGCCTGGGGCCAACATCCCGAAACTTCTGAAATCCGAAAGGCGCGCGAAACCAAATTGTGTTTCCTTTGCTTTTGGAGTGCTTTGTACGTGTGGCATTAATTATTCTGCGATTTTTACAGCACTTCAAAGGTAAGTTTGAGAGTGTTTATTACTGTATGTTGCTTGCATTTTCGAGATTTAGTATATTTGTGCTTTAGGACATGGCACAGAGTAAATTCGGCCGCGGATCGAGTTAAGCCATCTTGAAGAACCGCAGTAGGATCTAGTCTGAGTAAAGACAGCCCTGTCCTTTCTCTTTTCAGAGTGAGACCTTGACTTTTGGGATGACCTTTAAGCATTTTTCTACCCACACCAGGATATTTTCCTTGAATTTTACGGACAACCTCTTCAGGGGAATCATCACGGATATCTCTGTATTTACCTTCGAATATGCCGCGCGTGCCCAAATGGGTCTATTCTAATTCGTTCTTTGCCATTCATTACATACAAATGCGTGTACTCTTTCACACAATTGCGATCACTGTAGGAATTGCATTTCACTCGAATTTTTGGTTTTAATATGCGTTCCTGCGATGAAAATAATTCAAAGTTGATCATTCAAATAATTTTGACTAGAAAAAGCGCTCTTCATTTTGATTAGTACAGATGGATTTCGTTCATGCAACATGTCAACTTAACTAGTAGCTTGGAAGTCCATCATGAAGCACTATTTTTAATAAGGGACTGCACGCGAAGAGCCGGAGGGTCATTTGACAAAGACCATTTTTCCAAAATCCACCTTTCTTGAGTAATGCGATAACTAACCATTAACCGCGAGAAAAAGCCAGAAGTAAACCAGTAGGGATCTAAGATAAAGCAAACCTATGGTCTAAGTCACTAAAATTCTCAAAATAAATCACATCAATAGCATCACGTTTACGGGAAGAAATCACTATGTACTGCTTAAATATATATGCTCTCTGTTTTCGTAAGCATCGATGCATTTAGTATTACAAGAGTGAGTATGCCAGTTGAGGTTGACGCCGCGGGTATGTATAGGGCGTTTTTCCCTCCTTGGCCGAAACCGCCGAGCAGACATTATTTACAGTTCCCCGTGTATATGACTGCAAATATAAATTCGGTGTATTGGGGCAAAAATCTCGATTTGACCAAAGTAGGCGCGCAAGCTGGTACCGGTTAATTTTCTCAGTAGGCGCGCAAGATGTTGCTGGGTAATCTTGGCAACTCGAGGTCATTCTCACTTGTTCACAACCTGGAACAATAGAGACCTTAAGCAATAACGACGGGAACATGGACTACGACGTATATGACCGATTAAGGCCTGGGACGGGACCGTCGTCTACGGCGGGAAACACAAACACTTGAGCACACCAGTTACGTGGACGAGGATCGTGGAAGAGTCTACAGCTTTCGAACAGTTACAGGAAAAATATCTTTTAGAGAATTTCGTGAGCTGCTCATACTTCTTTATGGCGATAACATTGTTCAGATGAAGAATGTTTACTGCTTTACGATACCTGCAAAACAAAAAGGCCCGAATTTCCTCATGGAAACTACAAGCAATTCGATCTGGATTCTACGAACTCCACCGAATGCAAAGCAAATGAACTCATTGGAAATTTATACGGACCAGCTGGTGAGTTCTTTTGTGACATCAAATTATAGTTTTTAGTAACATAAACTTCCTAAGCAACTTCTATTCACAACTTTGATTTTTTTCTTCGTTTCAGAGGGGTGTAAACACGACGCAGGGATGTTAGCACCCACGGGAATTGGCGGGATGACCGCTGAATACAAGTGGATCGTTAAGGTTGTACAGAAGAGGGGTAATGTAAAACAGGAAAAAAAACGCCATTTTATGCCATAATTGACCACTTATGTAATAACACTAGCTCAAAAATACTACTACATGGATTGAGTTTTAGTTCGAAGATTATTCTTAGTTTTGTTTGTGTGGTTCTACTCCAAATGACCGTTCAACACAAGTGAAAGATGATACAAACAGGCCGTTAGAGCTCAAAGGTAACCACGCCTGCTCACTAGAGGAAACTGCTCAATAGAGGTGAAATTTACAGCGACTAAGGGGAAACAAATTCGGGACTTTGACAACTGACCGCTAAATACGGCGCCGCTTAATACAGGTTCGACTGTATGATAAACGACGAATCACATAGGAGAATTAGATACAAACAGTTTTTACTATTATAGTAGTCAGGAGTTTGTAGTGTGTTTTGAGTGTATTAAATTTTCTTTTGCCTGAAAGGATTTAACATATTACATTAACAAATAAGGGTTGATAAGGACAAATCAGAAAAAAACTTATTTCTTCAAGGTCAGAGATCATTGTGTCAATGAATTGCATATCATTTCATGGAAATTCAAGATCCTACTTGGAAGTAAATTAAAAGTCGGAACATTTTATTCTTTGTCAAGCCATCAGGTTTCTGAAAATGTTTCATTACATCAATACTGTTTCAAAGATAGGATACTCAGATACCTTAGTTTCTATTACTTGCCAGCGGTAAAAAAAAAAAGATGGCAAAACCAAATGTGGCTCAAAGTTTAACATTATCTTACTTTTACTGTATGCAGGTCCAGGGAAGAAGCTCAAAAAAACAAAGAAAAGTACAAAAGGTAAGTAAAGTGGAATAAACAAAGCTTAAGTAAAGTTCAAGTCAGTGTGATCATTATTAACACTATGCATGCACGTCATCCTGGCTAATTAGAAACTCGTTTATCTGGCCCAAGAGTTACAAAGAATGAACCCACATGTTATTGATTGCTCTGTTAGCTGAGTCAAATCTTTATCGAACTTGCCTGTGATCTGCATTAAAAAATTTAAATGATATAAATTCCTGGTCTCAAACGAGGGAAACTGTCAGTCAACAAGCGACAATAGTTGCAGATAGTTGCTGCACACTGTGAGCAAGTGAAGGCACTCGTAGTTGCCGGAATCCTAGTGTAGCTGTTATTGACGCTGAATCCAGCATGAAAAGCAACAGTATCCATGGAGGCTGTCACAACATGCTCAGCAGAAAGGAAAGGCAAAGACCAAGGGCTGTTTTACCTTTCATCAGCATGACATAAGGCTCAAGTTCCACATCGGCCATCTATCTACATATTACAGTTTGCTTTATCTCATTGCTACTTTTCCACTATCTCATTCCTAGCTTTACACTCTCTTCCTACTTGCTGATAATCCTACCTGATTCGCGGCTAGTTTTCAGCTATCTGATTTTTAGATTAATGTTATTTTGATTCTAGTTAATTGTGATCTACCCGAGAATAGTTTCTTATTATTTTGATCTATGTTATCTAACTTCGAGTTCATCTCTGTCCTGTATCTAACTACTGTTGCTGTAACTACCTAATCTCTATCTAGCTGAAAACTCACTTATTAGAGCATCAAACACTAGTTCAACCCTATCTAATACCTACCTAAATACTTACTGCAATAGTTATTTTACAAACTTATTTTTCAGATAGAATTTAGATAGAGCTATCTGCATGGTTCCAAATAACCCGTTAATGGATAGGAATTAGTATTAAGTGATTACACAAGCGACCTGGTTAGGAAATAGCTGGTCAATAGGTAGATTTTAGATCCATAGTTCAATAAACTAGTTTTAAGATAGCTAAAATCTAGTATCCAGTTTTGTAAGGGAATATGGCCGCTTTGTTTAAAACAAAAGATATCAAG